TCATCTGAGTAGCAATGCAATGCGTTCTTGTACTGCTTGTGTACGTGTGTGACGGATTATAATACACACAGTGAAGCATGAGGTGTATATATGTTTGTTGTCGTAAGCAAGTATATGCGTCGAGCATGTCCAGAAAAAATGTCTTCCCGGAACGCCGATATATTCAAAAATCGTCATTTTCAAAATTTGGGACCCTAGAATCGGGAAAATCTCGGGACTTTGTATTCATCATCTTCATTTAAACATTTTGAGTTCAAAATAGTGTGACGCGGAAGTTCTGCCACGTGGAAGTTCTTGCCCGGTCAAAAGTTGAGCTGAAGCCAACCTCCCCTGCCGGCCCGGTCGGGTCCCTGCCGGCCGGTAGGAGAAGCCGGCCGATGGGAGAAGCCGGCCGGTGGGAGAAGCCGGGCGGCCGACCAGCGGCGGTCCAGTTTTTTTCGGTTCGCACCGCCAGAGGTACTCCGGCTTCGAATTCCGGACGAGACAGCCCGGTTTTCCGGGCCGGAAAACTTGGGAGAACCGGGCTTAAACGTTTTGTCTCGTAAAGGTATGTCTCGTAAAAGCATTTGCATTGAGCGTGTTGCCAAGCGGAAGTTTATATTTTATGAGTTCTTGCATCAAAAGTTCTTACATCAGCAGTTCTTCTGTGACATAACAATTTTAACACAACTAATGTCGCGTAAAAGTTTTTCGCTTCAAGTTTTGTCACACAGAACTAATGTGTAAACGTTTTGTGGTTAGATGTTTTATCACGCAAAAGTTTATGCATGGCATGTTCTTACATTAAGGGTAATGCCGCGTAAAAACCTTCGCTTGCGACTTTTCCTTGTGTAGAAACACTGTCACGTGGAAGTTTGTGCGTTGGAAGGGTTGTTGCATAGATATTTGTGCAGTAGAATTAACCCTATTATAACTAATGTTGTGTACAAATGTATTCGTTAGAATAGGAATTTTGGGGGCTAAAAGCAGCAGTGCGTATAAAAGTTATATGAAAGTTAAAAGTTCTGTCACTCATAAACTGAGCGCGTTAAGCGTTCTTGCATTAGAAGCAAGGTAAAGTAGAAGTCGTGTAGGGGAAGCTCTGTCGTCCACAGCATTTGTTTAATAATTTTATTCGGTTCATCCGATACAAAGATTGCCGTGGCTGCGTTGTCCCCACAGCTATCTTCCTTAACTAAAGGGACAAGTTACGAAACGGGTTACGACTCATTGGTAAGGCGATAACATAGCACTGGCTGGGATATCCGACGCGCTTCCTTATTCCCTATCCGTGCTATTAAATGCCGAAGAGTATTCCAATGCTGTGGTCCGTTTCTGGCGGCGTTCAGGAGCTGGGCGCATGGCAACAAAATGGCTGAATTAGCCCGTCCAATCTTATGAGAACGACCAGGTCTAACTAACCTGTGTTGGAATGGAACCGGTGCGGTGGGGCTATTGCGGGAGCAATTAACCCGTGTGCCGGTATGGGGGGCTGGCGTTGCTGACGTCACCTGGCGTCATCCAGTTGGGGCCAAGGCATGAAAAGCATGATCCCAAATGTGAATGTACGTGTATGGTTCGTGTAGTGTACCTTTTCATCCTGCATTGCGGAACGCAGTGCTTCGATATTTCTTGTTGACTGTTTTGATCTTCCGACGTCCATGCAATGTTCTCCGTGTGGTTTTGCTTCCGTGATCATGTGCCCTTTATTCATCCGCTTGTAATGCATCCCCAAAGTAACAACGTTCTCCAAGAATAGCCACTGCTCATCCTGCTCTTCAGCTCCTCTTCTTTAACCCTACTAATCCCACTTGACAGCATAACTACGCATGATCTTCATTTTGTTGTCGTGTTTGTGACACTTCTGATCTATATGGATCCGGGCTTTGTCTAGTAAACTGCATACATATCAATCACCATTGTAGGGTAACGGCACTCGCAGCTCCGATGAGCCCGAGAAGGCCAGTTTCCCGGAAAGTCAGTGGGTGCCAAGGTCTCGCTTTGCCACAGCGTCAGAAAGCTCGTGCCCCACACTGTTGTGGCTGCCTTGAACCGGCCGTCGGTCAGCGCGAGTTGAGGCACATCCGGGCTATCCAATTGGGGAGAGCCATATCAGCACCGGCCCCGAGCACGAGATCGCCCATTTTTGCCGGTGTAACGGACCCAGTCGCACGCTATCGAAACTGTAAGCTTCCAGTGCGCCTGCATCAGTGGTGTCCACGGCACGATGAAGACGATCGCGAACCCGGTTTGGTTCATTCAGAGCCAGATGTGACGCCAGACTCGGGTCGTTTGCACCACTTGCCCGAGCTGTGCGGTGAGCCGTACAGTCAGCCAACGTCCTTTCGTCGTGCAAGGGGCGTGATTACGCAGTCTTTGTCGGGAGCGGCGAGCTGCCCCTCCTCGACGAAAGTGCTTACAGCAGTGGTGACAACACCTCCAAATAGCGGATCTGAAGGCGCTTATCTAGACTGTAAAGAATCCCCGCGTGATCTGGCAGTGGGTTTTGTAGCACCTTATGTTGTGACAGCCTGTTTTCTGAAGTCACAAACAGCCCCGTAAAAAGTCTTGCTTGGTGACCGTTGGGCTTAGCCTGCACGAGTTTGGTACATCACGTCACACCCGCCACACGCTAGGCGCACATGATAGATGTTTCCGACCCTGCACAGTTGGCTGCAACGGTCGGGCTCGTCAATTCGTAACTGCTCCGCCCCACACTCGGTGATCGTGACCAGGCACTACAACGTCGGCAAACTACAGGGCTTGCCCCCAGGCGCCAACCGCGTCCGCTATCCAGTGTCATGAGCCCAATGACGGCTCAGCAGCAGCACTGCATCTGCCCCGAACTGAATGACCCCGGCGAGCTCAAGGTCGCACCAGCCACGTGGGTGAACTCTCGCGCATGCCAGCGGGCGGTCTGGCTCCCGCGCTGCCGCACACCATAAACGAGCGCGCCCAGTGGACTGCCCACAGCAGCCGCCCGGCGACGCGCAGCTGCTGCTGTGTTTAGACCCGAAGGCCTGCAGCAGGACATGAGCAGAGTGGTCTCAGAATAGTGGTCACCATTGTAGTCTCAGAATTGGGATTCGGCTTCACTGAAGTTAACTGCGTATTGTTCTTGTCATATGAGATTTGCATTTGTTGTCCTGCGGTGAGCATGTGATGCTACTAGTGGCGCGCTCAAGGGGGAGTTTGATAAGTTTGATTAGCTGCAGCTAAGCAGCTTATCAAACTTTCTGAGCCAAGATCATTTGTCTGAGCGGGTCAGACAGAGGCTCTTGCCAATCGTGAGTCAGTAAAAATTTCCATGCGATTCACAAAATGCCCAATAAACGCGGGACACTTGCTGCAATTGCTACTCTGTATGATGCTGTGTTTGTCATGCAATACGCAATTTAAAGAGTTCGAAGGTAATGAGGCAAACATCAGGTATGGAGGGCAAAGTTTACTTGTCATTCTAAGCATATTTTGAAGTGGAAAAGACTGTCCCAAATAAAAAAGTCACTGATAAGCCTGCACAGGCTTCAATATGTCATCGTTTCACCCTTCATGAAACGTCTTTCAGTGTCGCTGTCAGAGTCGCTGTCAGAGTTGCCGTGCCAGAGTTGCCGTGCCAGAGTTGCCGTGCCGGAGTCGTTGGAAGTTGTCGGACCTTCTGAAGTCGTTGGATTCTCATCCTCATGCCCCTCATATTTAGTTATTGCCCAAAGGCCTGTGTGAGCAATTGCAAAACAAGGTTCGTACTGAAGACGATCCTGTCATTTTATCCTCTGTCCCGCCTGCTCTCCCATCTTCACGACGCCTCGTTTGTCCGGAAAAGACCACATGCGCCAGCCATGAGTGGGCCCAAGTGCCCCTGGTGGTGGGGCCCGCCCGAGCGGCGAACACAAACCCCGAAGAGGGGTTCTGTGCGGGCAAGTCTCTGCGGATGGATCCCTAGTTGCAGGTGGTTCTGCCCCACCGTTACCCACTTTCCTTCATCTCATAGCCCTGAAATGGTCATGGCCGGCCAAAACGGCCCTAATCCAAACAACATAGCCATTATCGAGGCATGCGATCAGCAGCGCAAACCGACCATTAGCCCGTTGTCTTTTATCGTGGGGACATTTGGTGCTGTATCACCGCATACACGAATGTTTCAGTGGCGATGGTTTTCTTGACCGTGAGCACAGCACAGCCAATGAGGTGGCATGTTCGCGTGACGTCCTTATGACGCCATACATGTTTGCGTGACTTTCCCATAGGCGGTGCGTAAGAGGCTGCAGAAATTCACATCGATCAAGCTCAGAAACAAGAGGGTCTGAAGTCCGTGGTGTTCGTGCTCGTCCTAACGGGTTTCACTGTAAAGTGCAGGGAATGATCATGAAAATGACTGTCTCAGTTCAAAGCCCAATGTAACTGTTGAACATTTCCTTAAGCTCAAAATGGTACATCGATCCATCATCACGTAAAGCAAGGTGATGACAGCCAGGAAAATATCACTGAAATATGCAACGATATCCACTTGACGGGTCATTCTTGACATGACCCGCAAGTGGAAAGTTAAGAAGTACAGGCCGTGTGTCATCGCTCTGCCGAAAACTTATGCCCCTGTCCTGTAATTGGGGACAACGCTAGTCGGGACCTGCTAGGTCCCCGGTCCCCTCAAACGCTCGACGATGACCGTTCCCTCGCCTCTACCGCCGTCTTGACTCTCGGACAGTACGAATCGTCCCGGTAAGTCCGTGTGTACCGCTGTTTCTGCTCAGGCCAGTCGGGCCAAGCCCTCGCTTAAGAACGAAGTCCCATGATAGAGCTACTCCACAAGCGGCTCGCCTCAGTCGCGAGCCAAATCCCTCACCTATACATCCGGATGTTGCCATGCGCCTGGCGCGGGGGCAGCTTCCACCCGCGGTTGCATCGCGAGTCGAGCGCTGATTGGCCGCCGCGCGGTGACGTCAGCGACGATCGACCGCCGCCGGCGGCGCTGGCGCTCCGCCGTGACGCCTGACGCTGCTCTCTGACAGTGGAGTGGTGGGGGTCGGGGGTGGTGCCCACGCGCGCGTGCCCGGCAGGAGTTTCGGTGGCGGACTTGCGGCGTCGAGCGCACACCGGGGTGCCGTGCTGTCGTCGGCGCGACGAGCGTCACGTGACCGGGGACATCACGTGGCGGCGGAGTGCCGGCCGCCAGGCTGAGCGGCGGCCCCCCACGCGTGGCGCGACCTTCAGACGGCGAACAACCCGCCCCAGCCGGCTGACCCAGGCCCGGTCGGCGCACCGCTTGACCGTCGGCGGCGGTAGGTGATTGCGGACGTTAGCATTCCGCAGGCCCGTCCCGCCGTGGCCCGACAGGCCGCTGCATTGCGACATCCTGCAAATTGTGCTGCAGCGTCGCAGCGGCGCCTGGCGGTGGTACCCCTCCCCCTTCCCCGCCCGGGCGCCGTGTGTATCGATGTCAGGGCTTCGGGTCGTATCGAGGAAGGCCACTGACCTTGATGCTGGCTCTGCTCGATCACGCCGCACTCCAGGCCATGGCTTATGTGTGGGGCGTGAACTGCTAGAGCGCGCGTTCTCGCGACCGCCTCATTCTAGTCACGCTCAGGAAAACGACCCTACGATGCCGCAAACCAGGGTCGTATAGGGGGAGCGTTGGTGTGGTTTTAGTCAACCGCATGAAACAAGCACCCTTGTCGGTGACGGCTATTTGAGTTTGTTATTGTTTCTGCACGGCAAAGGCTCGAGCTGGCGCTTCCGTCCACCTTCCGTTCACACGACTACGACAGCTTGGTGCCACGTGATGCAGCCACGGTTCGATTCACCGAATGTGTGTTATTAACATTCTTGGGTGACGTGGATGGGTACATAACGTACGTCCTTCTTTGCCGGATGTTAGGCTCATAAACGCCAAATTTTGTCAAAAGATGAAAGGCTGAGACACATTCGCCAAGGTATGGCGGACTGATACGACTGTGTAAAGGCTTCAAGACCCTCTGTGCAAGCGCGCTTGACCCTCTGGCCGTGGTGAAGGGACTGTACCGACGACTGGCCCGCCTCCGCTCTGGGCGGCGTGGTGACGAGTCGGACGGTCGTTCGTCACGTTAGGTAAACCTGTGGCTATTCGGCGTACATTTCCATTCAGTCCTGCTTCAGGTGGGTGTGGGCGTCACTGATCCTCTGTCTCTCACCCAGCGGATTGAATGCATTCGGGCGCTGGCATGACTGTTGACTAGCATAAAAATCAAATGCATAGTATTTTTTACTGTTCAGTTAAGCATTGCTGTGTTTTTTATACGGACATCAGGATTATTACGCCCACGCGTACTGGACATGGCAGAAGCGCGTAATACAAAGTGCGTTCACACTTCGTAGTTTTGTTCCTAAACAGAAACCTGCTCGAGTGGTTGCTCGAATTTCTGGCATCGTTGCTGGCGCCCCTGGCATTGTTGCTGGCGTTTCTAGCATTGTTGCCCTGGAGCTCCGCTATACATGTTAGTGCCCCAGTTCATTTCCGTAGCATCTCAAGCCTGCCACATAACATTTTATATTAATTGTGCGAGGTATATGTCAATGCATGCACTCTCCGAAGTCATGCATATTACAATAGGGCACGCTGGATGGTGCGTTGGGTCTCGCTTGCAGCGGTAGAATATCCGCTTGTAGGACCACTTCAAACATCCGTTTGGAGAACCGCTACATCTCTAGTTGTAGCGGCTCAAGTGATTAATTGTCAGAACCTTAAATCTAAGCGCTGATAAGGTTTGTAAGATGAATGGCGTAACAAGATTTGCTCTGTTTACGCACGATCCCTCAACGACAGGCCGTTGTGATATTTCTTGCAACCACTTTTCATCATTTGTGTTACAAGATCTACCAACTGGTGTCTCTTTCCTTATCTCAAACCTGCCACGCTGGTTACATGAACGTTTTTTTGCGAGTGTGAGATGTCCGAACCGACTGGGTGGAGATTAAATATGACACGCTGGTGAAGGTTAATTCTAGGTGTTGCATCTGTTAAACTTGTATATAATTCGGCCCCATAGTTTATTTTCTACTTTTAAAACATTTACATAGACAGGTGATTTATCCCAACATTGATGAGTGATTGTGGACTCACCCGGGAAGCAGACAACTACAACCGAACGAGATCATTACGTCTGTTTGGTAAAGTGGGCCTAAGCCACGCTTCGGAGGCGGCCGAACGCGGATAGCCAAAACTCCTTAAAAGGTCCTCGTATGACCTGGCGTACAGCTCGATTACAGTGGCGTGCACTGGCTCAAATGTGGCGCACAGTGACGTGCAATGGCTCAAATGTGGCGCACCGTGGAGTACACTGGCTCAAATGTGGCGCACCGTGGAGTACACTGGCTCAAATGCCTGTGGACAGCGATCACATGGCATCATGATCGCACGGAAAGGAAATTGTACACTTCAAAAATGATGCGCATGCAGATATTGTGACAAAAACGCCGCGTCGATTACGTCATAACATGACATCAAACGGCTGTTCGTGAAAAACGCTGTGCACAACAAATACCGCGATAATCAAAGGTTACGCGTGATAATGAAACGATAAAATAGTCGTGCAAAATATCGTACCGCTTAACATATTTCAGCAAAACATTGCAATAGATAATGAACGTGTGCCAAAACATTGGATGCGATAAACGAGTCATGGAAAAGGCTGGCGGGCAAAAATCTCATTAACAGTCGTGGGCTAATGAGCGTGGGTCTATGATCGTGGCCTTGTGGATGGGAGAATCAATAAAGGTGGCATAATTCTTAGAGACAGGCTGCAATAACAAAAACAGCTATTTGTCAGTAAGATATTATGCCTCATCCGGTATCAAAAATATCGACAGAACAATGACAGGCGGACGACGGTCGCGGCTCATGTTACACTCATCATCCGCACCGGCCTGAGTCATGCGGGCCAGAGCAGCGTTCGTGACCGGGCGATCCCGGCTGTCCGCTGCGCCCTGTTCCCGTGCACTCTTTGCGTGCCAAGAACAGGGGTGAAGTTATGCAAAATATGTAGGGGGACTGTGCAGGAAAAGATGCCTTGATGGGCTTGTCTCCGGAATCAAATTATTTTCTTCTCGAGTCTTGTGGGAGGAGGGGGCGGGCTGAAGCACCAACCAGTTGAATTGGAGAGTACACTCCTGGTCAGCAAGTATTTGAGCGCACGTTTTCCTTTTTAACCATTCCGACCTCCTAGCACGTGTTATGGATTCCAATATTTAGTGCACTGCATTTAACGCGCGTTGTTTTTACTTGTGATATTTGTGTTCCTGTGTTACGGTATTGGGCTATTTTTTTATTTTACACGTAACCGTGTCATTATGGAATTCCGCTGTAATGGTATACGCAACGATATTCATCCTTGTCATGTTTACCTTCACCTTCACGAGAAATGATCTATTTCCTACTTGTCCTTTGCACATGGACCGTTTTATTTATGACATTTTACCTTGGATTTCTATGCGCAGTACGCAAACCATCATATCGCTATCTTTTGATTGTGATTTTCTTTATCATATACTTCTTGTCGTTCGATACTTATTGTTGTTATAACTGCATACGTGTGGTTATGATGACAACAGCACTGAAATTAATGCTGATAAACAAACACATGTGGACAGACCTGGACCAGATCTGGTAAATATGCCGATAATTTTTGGCAGTATAAATACTTCTTAACACCTTTTATATTAATCGAAATAGCCGCTTAGACTGAGCGCGCTGATCTCCCAATTTTACCGTGATGGAAGTAAGAACACAAGTGTTGTTTTCTTCCCGGTCCTTCATCTGACGGATAAGCTGGCTGCCGTGTGATACAGCGGTTTGACGTCAGTCTGCTGACGTTCGAGCCTCGTATACAAGTGGTGCCTCCCATGCAGCATATGATCCGCTTTGGCGGACACCGAGTGGCCGTTTATGTTCATGCATACCGCGGGTGGCGAAATAAGCGGCTTTGTTGCGAACCCACCCTTTTCCCCTCCCTTGCTTGGCGGGGCTTGCGGGCTGCGGTCCGTCCCCCGGCCAAGACATGAGACCAGTCTCGCGTGCAGGTGTGGTGCTCTGGTTGCAGCCTTCTAATGTGAGTCGAGCAGACGGGTGCAATACACTGCGGTGACGGGGTCGCCAGGTCGCTCAGTGCAATCTTAGTCTTACGCTTATTCCTTCTGTCACGGAAAGACAATTTGCAATAAAAAATCAGTATGCGTGCTGTTTGTGCTTTTTGGCTTTTTCACCTCGGTGAGTGTGTAGCAGTGGACAACATATTACAAACCAGAGGGTACAGGCACTGGGCGCCGAATTCGTAAGTCAGTTGGGGAGGGAAGGAGAAGGGCTGGTAGGGCCCTCCTGCCGACATATTTTGCCAACTTTAACGTTAGACCCTGCGGCGTCGCATGAAGAAAAGCAACGTAAAAACTGCGTTCGCTTCCAGAGGATACGTCGTTACTGCGCTGGTGCTTACTTTGTCTTTTGATCTTTTCACACGGCATGGTATAAGGTAAAATTTTAAGGAAAAATATCACACGGCACTACGTCACGCCGCATTTAAGGTACCTTCAAAAGGAGTGTTTCACATCTGGAGACATTAAAGCAACCATCAGATAAAATGAAATGAGCTTGCTTATATCTATTGTTGTCGTTTCAAGTCGAAAATAATGCTCAAGATAGCACAATTTATCTGTTGAGTAAATATGCTTCTCGATACGTCAGGGTTTGATTACGTCATCGTGCATTGCACAGAATCCATTGAGTGCCAATTGACTGTCACTATATCAGGCAGTCTTGCTCATGAACGCCAGATATGAACTACTCCACTATGACATTCTTCCTCGGCCTCGATCGCTGCATGGCTTATGGAATGGTAGGATTCCAATGACGTTATTATGACGTCATAAATGCCGAGGCGGCTTCGGACTACTCGTCCTAAAATGCTCCCCCGCCCTATTTTCGCGCGCGTGTAGCTCAGAAACTAGAGGGGTCTTAGGTTTAGGTGTTAAGAAGGGCAGGGCTGTGACCTAAACGGAAAGGTCTTCAAAATGGCTGTTCAAAGCCCCGTAAAAATGTTGCACACATCCTTTATTTGGATGAAGTGGCATCGTATTTCAAGATAGTTAAGTAGATATCAGACCTTGCTGCGAGTTTGGCGTGCATAGCGCAAATCCGGCGCATCATCTTTGCAGGCAAGGCGAGGAAGCGGACGAGGAAGTTTCGTCCCGATTCGAGAGATGCGGGTGCATGGCACCGCGCTGGCACGCCGGTGCTGGGACGATGAGCGGATGA